GGGATCACAATTTACACGCATGCCGTGGTCGGTAGACGATTGACCTCGCATGCCGGAACGAGCGATGTGCAGGGCTTTCGCCGGCCCAGCCTATGTTTCACAAAGGTGAACCGCAAGCTGGCAATCATTCATGCGTATGCTGTGCCAAACCAGATGTGCCATGGATGAGGAGAAAACGGGTAAGAAACTGGGCCAAGAGCGTTTTCCGATGCCAACGTATGCGGAAATTCACGACAGCATTCAGAATACTTTGAGCACGACAACATCAACACATGCGGGCATATGGTACGTACGTACATACATACCATCGTACGAGTTTCGAGTTTCAACGCGTCTCGGGGCATCCAACGGTTCAAGTCAAGAGATTCAATCAACGAACCCACACATTGTTGCGCGCTTGGCTCCATGACCACTGTTGCCGTCCAATGATATCCCATTTTTTCCTGAGTTCATTACCTACTACTGTTCCTGTCCTGGGTATGCTTTTATACCCTATCCTGTCCTGGGTATCCTATTACCCTATCCTGTACTGGGTACTCTTAGATGCCCTATGGCATCCGGTCCTGGGTATCCTATCATAGCCTATCCTATCCAGAGTATCCTTGATGCCCTACTGCTGTTTTCTGTCTTGGGCATCCTACTGTACCCGGTATCCTATCCTACGAGACTCTGTCCGTGGCACCTACACTACGATAACTGGGTGCCACACAACAACAAACAGTGCTTACAACTGTCTCTGGAAGTGAAAGCACCAGAAAATAAATTAAGTCATACGCAGCTGTCATCCGTACGCAAGGAAGTAAGCACAAGATGCCGAAAACCCTTAGCAGGATGCAGCGCACCCTTCATGCGACTCGCCGAATATCTCACGGCGCTTCGCGCTTGGTGATGTGAGAGCCTGGTCCGGTGAGAACCCGGCGTGCTCCGTCCCGGCTTTGTAGGGATGCGAGGCCAATGGTCTAACGACCACGGTAATACTTCGAATAAAAATGAAAACCTGACACCTACCTCCAAGTGATTTTGAGTATCCTACGATACCCTGTCCTTTGCACCCATACTACGATACCTGGGTGCCACCACAAAACCCAGAACAACGATCACCGACCTCGAAGTGCTTCGGCAGGTCCAGCTCGTCCCTGTCCGCCTCATTCGGCACGCCGTAGTTCCCCACCAGCGGGTACGTGAGGATCAGGATCTGCCCGCGATAGCTCGGGTCCGTCAGCGCCTCCGGGTATCCCACCATGCCGGTGTTGAACACCACCTCCCCCGCCATGGAGGTGGCGGCTCCGAAGCTGAAACCGGTGTGCTTGGTGCCGTCTTTGAGCACCAGGGTCCCTGGCGTGTCTTTATTCTCCAGGGCATGCTCGCTCTCTGTCATGTGTCATGTGTGCCACGCGCGTGTGGGTCTTAAATAATAGAATCGTCCCGCGCAAACCGGCTGACCTATCAAATGACCTTCGTGTCAATGTGTGTGCGTGTGTGCGCACGTCTGGGTCTTTTAACAATGGCATCGACCCCGTGAACCGACTGACCAATCAAATGACGTTCGTGTCATGTGTGTGCGTGTGTCGTAAGTATTAGCATCGACCGCGCTAACCGGCTGACCAATGAAAAGACGTCAGTCTCAGTGCGGTTGAAAACACAAGACACTTCTAACTGCCATGAACTGAGACACAAGGAGGGAGTGTGCACGTGTGTGGGTCTTTGATATGAGCATCGACCGCGCCAACCGGCCGACTAATGAAAATACGTACGTCAGTCTTCAGTGGCACAGGGCCTTAAGTATCTCTTGCACGTTGTATGCATATTTTCTGCTGTGGTACTGAATTTTCTCGAACGGGTAGTCTTTCTGATTTCTTCCACGTTTTTTTTTCAGAAACAACTGCATCCATCCGAGTAGGGGGGTATTATCCAACGCATTCACTTAATCGGCGAACCATCTCGGGGGAGCGCCAAACGTAACGCCCGTCCCTGCAATAGAGTCACCACACAGAACAGGGGGTACCGCAGCCTGATTGGATTGTCTCCGTACCCCCGGGCGGACAATATCGGGGCCACGGGCCAGTTTTGTTGCCATTTCGAGAAAATCTCAGCCCAAGATTTGCTCGGCAGATCAGCCTGAACATATCTTGTTGGGAGCGGCGAGATGACAAGGCCGTGAAGGCGGTACCTTGAACGAAAGCTTCCATCCACCCAAATCAACCGCGGTCACCCCGCTGATTTTATCGCCAAGGGTACCGCCGGTGTTCGTCAGGCCCATGGGGCTTGAGGTCGTTTCCATCACACGGCGCCGCGTTGCCGGGCTTGCCGTCGGTTGCGTAAGAAATCACCCCCCCCCACCCTCAGCAGGATGCAGCGCACCCTTCACGCGACTCGCCGAATACCTCACGGCGCTTCGCGCCTGGTGATGTGAGAGACTGGTCCGGTGAGAACCCGGCGTGCTCCGTCCCGGCTGTTTAGGGATGCGAGGTCAATGGTCTAACGACTACGGCATGCACGACTATTGCATTACTACACCCCCGCCCTCTTGGACCAATTCGAAAAACTCGACTACTGCTGTGCTCCACAACGAAGAGGATGCCAACCTCACAAGATGCGCTTCGGGCAAGCTCGCGACGAAAAGGTTCCAACGCCGCCATCTTCGGGCCCGATGCTGTTGTTTTAGCTGCAGAGGTCAAGGTTTGAAAATTGGTCCCCGGGGGTGTGTTATCTTACGCAATCTACGGTAACACACGCGAAGGGCGAACCGGTAGGGTGACGAGTACCATTTATCGGTACTAGTTTGTCCTGCGCCGGGTACAAAATGTCGAAAGGGTACCAAAATAGGGTATCTTGCACTTCAGTGGGAGAGGGTGTCGGCAACGTGTGGCAACATAAAATACCAAGTAGAACATGTTTTTCGCATCAGCCAAAGACACCCGTTCTGTGCCCGTAGTTTTCAATGAACCAGGTACCGTCAGGATGACATATCTGGTTGGGGACGGTGCCTGATAACACCCGCCCTTCCATCCTGAACACCATCTACAGCGGTACCTCCAAAAAAAACCTTCACCCTGGCTTCTACAAGAATAAAGCGTAGATGTATCGGCCCTACTGCTGCTGTTTTTCGTTGGTCTGGAGCACGCCGGTGTGTCCTACCAATCACCTCAAACCCGTGGTAAAATCCGTGGTAAAACCCGTCTGACTACACAGCAGCAGCAGCCTAGGTTGTAACATCGTACCCGTGAGTTGGCCCGCATACGTATGGCAGTTCAAACACGGCATGTCCGCGGAATGGCGCAGCACTTATATAGGATTTCGTGCTCCAAAGCAGTACAAGCTGCTTGCGACAAGAGGTAAACGTATGAGATATGGTCGTACCGTGAAGGCATGCCTTCTGCCGTTGTCCGACAACGCAACGGCGGGCGGGGTGTCTGTTTACAGCAGTAAACCGGCTGGTGTGCGTGCATGTCTCCAGAAACCCGGCCCGCTGACACCCACGGAGCAATCATGTTCGGGACAATCAGAACAATGTCTCCATACAATGTAACATCACCATCAGCCGTGCATCGCACTCCTACTATACAGTGACCCAGAGGCTATGGTGAGGCAGCAGCTGCTGCTAAGTGCAAGGAGAGATGACGTCCTTCGACACATGGCATGTAATTTCGTTTCACACGACATCGTAATTTTTGCCGACAATAAAAGCGGGGAGATGGCCATGGTTGTAAGCAGCGAAATTCGTCCTCAAGGGGGTAGCGTGACAGCAGGTATCTTGGTAGTCTTACCAGCATACTAATGTCCCTTGAGGGAGCGGCTTGCACGATGGCCAGTGGTTTCGATGGTCGAAAACGGCTCGCCGGTGTTGTATTTTGGTACAGTAGTTCTCCATAGTGCTTGTTGGCCCTCAACATCAAGGTGGCGAAGTATCAGTATTTCGGGTGTATGGATGTGTGTACATAATTCGATTAAAAAATTCTCGATGGCCGAGGGGAAGAGAGAGAGAAACCGGGACGTCGACGACCACGAGCGAATGTTCCACACCGGCGAACACAGCTGCGAAACCTCTACCCCGAGTCTACCTACCAAACGGTGTGCCCACCGACTCATGATAACGCCGGCTCTTGACTGGTGGATACAAGAGACTTAATGGTACTACACCGATGGTGGATGGAGCAAAAATGCACAGGTTCATTTTGTCATGTTGCCGGGCAGGTGTGCGACTCTACCAATCCGCAGGCACACACAAGGGCAACGATAGAACCTATATCGGGCGCGCAATCTTGCCGAAACCTCACCTCTATGGCTGAGTCGTCCTGGGGTGGACGGCGAGCCCAACGGCCGGGAACGCTGAGGGATAGGTGCCGGCATCTTGCTCGAGCCACGAGATTTAAAATAATATCGCCTTTAGTTTGTTGCCGGGGAAGCTTGTAGCGTGGTAGGCTTGCTGTGCAGCTCCCGCCTATCGCGATCTATCCCCTAACTGGTGAAAGGCAAGGTAGGAACGCACGACAAATTTGACGCACGCCCTCTTGTCCCTGATACTGATACTGCTGCGACTGCTGCTGCACCAGTTTGCGTCCAGCGTGCCCTCTCCGCCGGCGCTGGTGCACGCACATTTCTTTTTATTTTTTATATATTTAGAGGAATATATTTTATATATTTAGAGGAAGGGGGGATATATATCGAGAAAATATACCAAACAGGGGGCTGGGGGGGCACCGTTCTCCCTTACACATCTCCGAAGATCTGACGACTGGCACAAAAAGATCCAGATCTGCGAGGAGATCCCATCTGGGGCAAAACGTGTAACGGAAGCTGGATACCCTGCAGAGGTTTTTCGGTGAGCACTCACATAGTTTTCACTCACACTAGGGGATACGGCTGCGTCCACTGCTGTCTGGTAGCGGTAGCTTACACGCATCAACATCACACAGCACGCACGCACGCACGCACGCACGCACGCACTCCCCCTGCTGTACACCGCGGCTACACCCTTCAGGGTGGCGAGAATCTCGAAGATGGTGAATGGCCTTCGGTTGACGACGTTGCTCTTCGTCAGGGTCGCTCTTGTGGCACTTTCGAACACTCGTGGCACAGCAGTAGCAGAGGCAGCGCCGGCGGCCCCTCGTGGCCTCGACTATGAGCAATGGCAGCAGAAGCAGGCCGAGCAGACCAAGCTGCCTCTACACCTGGGCTTCACGAGCCCAATCAACGGCACTCGAGTTGAAGGTCCCAACGTATTCCTTCACTACAAGATCTTCAACACTCTTGAGAACAGGGAGCTGACTTCGGCTGAGGTCCGAGATCTCTCCGTATCAACCACGGTGTGCTTCAAGCTCCACGGCTTCAATGACGTCCCCGAGATCTGCGCGCCGTTGAGAGTAGCCACGGTCACGATCAAGGACGCTCTTCCGGCCAAGTGGCACCACGTTACGGGCTCGATCAAGGACACGAGCACGGGAAAGCTGCTAGGACTGTCGGACGGCGGTGTGTCCGTGTTCAACAACCTGAATGGATACGGCGTCCTTGATATGTGCGGCGAGAGCGCCTGCTTGGACTCGAATGCTCTGCGGTCGGCGTACTTCGACTACGTTTACCGGTGAGAACAAACAACCGTCGATGGTGGTGTGGAACACTTTTCATGGGTTATTGGCATACCCTTGGGTTGGGCGGGGACATGCGTCGAGGGTCGAAGGTTTTCCGCACGACTAGAATCATGCGATTGAAGGAAGACCCCACTGTGGACATGTCGACCAGACGGGCAACAATGTTGTTGTTGTATACACACTGAAAGGTAGACGCGAGACGGTACAACAGTCTACAGAACATTCTTGGGTTTGATGGACTACAGCTGTCCAGTCTACAAGTGTGGTCTGACGTGCAGCGGTTGCAGGTACAGAATGCTTTGCTTGTCATGCAACCATACAACGAATGGCCTATATCCACAGAGAATGCGTGTGTTGCTTGTGGTGTGCAATCGACTGCAGCAGTACAAACAAAAGTTCAGCACGCACCGCGCAATAGTTCTTGTTGGGCTCGTAATCCTGGGTCCCACGGCGGGTAGGTATTGTGGGAAACAGACACATTCCAGTCGATGCCGGGCACGATATCAACGTCGCTGGGCGATTGCACGATAAGTTAGCGAGGTCGACTACATTATAGCACAGTGTAGTTCGAAGCTTACATGCTCACACAACTGGTGTATGGAAGGTCACCATCGAGGTGATGCCTGACCTATTCAGTCTGTGGAGATCTTGCTGCCCGGCATTTCCATTATTTCTGGATCTCTTTGGGCGGTTCATGTCTGTAGACTTGTAACTTTTATAATATGAAGAGTAAGGTTGCACCGCAGAAGCATCTTGTGGCGGTTCACCCATAAAGTAATCCGAAATATGAAGACGATCCGTCGAGAATGACTAGACAAGATGGGGATGGAGCCATGAGCAATAAGGCACGCGCTGGCACACGTGTAGCGTGTTTCAATACATCAACGAGCACACGTTTTCGATGAAGAGCTCGGTAGGAACGTGGGCTGCATTCACCCCACTGGCAACAAAGTCCCCGATGAATGTTCCAGCTGTGGTCGCCTTCACGTGATTCCCATCGAAACAACACGGTTTATTACCACGACAGGCACCCTAGCTGGTACGGCCGCATCCCTCTCACAGGAGCATCCAAGCTTTCCTCCACCTTCTCTATCCGGTCCGGTCTCTCCAAGGTGATCTCCGCCTTCAACATCAAGAGGTAAGGGCGAGTACACTGTGAACACGCCAACCCGCGCCTGCTGCGATTGGTATACCCTTGCCGTTGCTAACTAGATACTTCTAGTCAGCACCACTGCACCCCCCCCCCAACAATATCTCGACCATCTCGCTGTACAATGTACATTATCTACATACATGCGTTCCCCATCGCTTGGTGTTTGTTATCATCCGCATACTCTTCTCTACCACTGCGGTGAGCTGAATCCCTCACCGTTCATAACCCACTCGCTTCGTTTGACATGCACAACATGCCGGCCCGTCGTCTGGGGATACCACGACCCACCGCCGCCGTGTTTGCTATACCTCGCCAACAGCATGCTCGACGCGCCTTGCGGAGATCTGAGCTGGATGCCCTTGGTTTCCGGGATCCAGAATGTCCAATACACGGGCGCCGACATCGTAGAGATTGCCGTGGAGACCAACCGGAAGAAATTCGGGGCAGACATCACAGAGATTAGAGACGAGGACTTGAAGGTGGGAAGGGAGATTGCCGCCGCCATGCGCCGGGGAGAAGGCCTGAAGGACCCCGCCTTTGTCGTGGCCGATCTCGTTGAGAGTGTGCCAGCATCGCAGGACGGGGCACCCTTTGACCTTGTCTTTGTTAGGTGAGATTGTTTCCGCTGAATACATAGGACGCGTTCGAAGTCGTTCATACGCCGACCCGCTGCTGCAACCGAAAACAATACGGAGTATCTCAAAGTATGTTACATTGTATTCGTGCGCTTAGAGTGTGACGCCCAACTTTACTCTTTGAACTGCTGATGATTTGCTTGCTACGAAAGCGTAGACCAAAATGAGAATCTCGTGAGATTAAGGTGCCTACCAAGCACTTATATTTTAAAACATGAACATACGCTCCGCGGCGCGTGAGTTTATTCTAGGCTTGCAATCCCTTGGCACGATTGGTTGAACGAGCTTCTTGCAGCAGGCGCGTGTGTTGCGACTTCACGCGCAACCGACTAAGCATCGTCGTAGCGATATGACGTAAATGCAGATGTGTTGACTGCTGTGCCCTTACTTGAGGTACACTGCGGTACCCTACCAGTTGGTATCTTCCTCAAAAGCGGTGTGACTGCGCCATCTCGAGCAAAGCAATACATGCTGCCACACTACAGAACAACCTGATCCTCGCTTTTTTACGTCCTGCGCCCGCTGCCGACCAGGGCCACACTGCTCAATGTGTTAGTGTTGTAAACTTGGTTGTGAGCTTCTCATAAGTGTGCCGTCGAGCTCCACCACTTCCGTACACTGGTCGACCCCGTTACTTCGGGTGTGGTGGCCTATCTCGAACAAAAACCGTTCTGAAACTTGGTCCTGGCATAACCAAAGTTGAAGAACAACATGCGCTCTACTCGCCAATGATAACCGTGCCCCAGTGTCTCCTTCTCCTTAGCCATGAAACCACCGGGAACCCGGAGCATCCATCTCTCGTTCACGATGGTCTTCATCCTTCCAATCAGTCCAGGCCATGTCCACCTGATGCGGGTCTGCGAGCAAAGCTCCCCCCGCCCCCCGCTCTAACCCTTAAAGGCCACGCCACCAACTACGCCTACGACACACCTAGCGTAACTTCCCACATCAGAGCGCCGTTTCCACCCCCCCCCCCCCCCCCCC